AGCCCTACATTTCTATGATTCTGTTAAATTGCACACTACTTTTGAAGGGACCAATTCCCTTAATTGTCAATGCAGGACTCTCTATCTGTTGACAAATCTTATTTGTGAAAGAAGCACATTATTTGGTGTTACTTTTTGATTAGAGGGTTTTATGAGAGACCCTTCCTGTCTGTCTTTTAAGAAACTCTCTTGCTGTCTGCATCTGCCCGTAATAGAATTGGCTAGTTCAATGGCCAGAAGAGACATGTAATTTTAACTCATGATTGGTATGTGTGGCTTGCAAAGGAAGACATAGGTTGCCCTCCATTTCATTAGGGGAATGGAATTGTCCCTGTTCTGGGAAAGGTCTAATAAGATCTTTATAGAGTGCCGGACACAAAGACATTATGACAGGTTTCAGAGTGGTAGCCGTGTTAGTCTGTATCAGCAAAAACAACGAAGAATCCTTGTGGCACCTTAGAGACACATTTATTTGGGCATAAGCTTTCGTGGACTAAAACCCACGGAAGCATATGCCCAAATAAAGACATGCTAAATACACTTACTTGTCTTCATACCTTCAGTGAGAGTTGCTTTAGGACCCACAAGTAGCCAACATAAAAAAATAGGCCCTTTTTGCTCTAAAATAAGTGGCCATCTCTTACTGTTAACCTGTGTGCCCTACAGGATGCTTCTTTAGAGAGGTGGAGGCAACTGGTCCACCAAGGCAGAAAACTAGAGAGATGATAGAGATGTGAGAGAGTTCTCTCAAAACTTGCTGCTGCCACTTATTGGTCGAATGAATAAATCCTGCAGTGCTGAAAGGGTTTTGGAGCAGCTAGCAGAAGCTATGGCTATGTCTACACTTAAAACACTGCAGTGGCAGCAATGTAGCTGCACTGCTGTAGCACTAAAGTGTAGACACTTAAGGCTATGTCTACACTACAGCCGGGATCGATGCTCTGAGATCGATCCACCGGTGGTCGATTTAGTGGGTCTAGTGAAGACCTGCCAACTTGACAGCAGATCGTTCTCCAGTCGACCCCTGTACTCTATCCCCTGATGAGAAGAGTAAGGTAAGTCGATGGGAGAGTTTCTCCCATCAACCACCAGCCCTGTAGACCCTGCGGCAACTTGATCTAAGGTATGTCAACTCCAGCTACGTTATTCACGTAGCTAGAGTTGCGTAGTGTAGGTCGACTTACCGCGGTACTGTAGACATAGCCTTATTACAGCAATGGGAGAGGTTCTCCCATCACTGTAGGTAATCTACCTCCCTGGGAGGCTGTAGCTAGGTTGATGGAAAAATTCTTCCATTGACCTAATTCTGTCTACAGCGGGGGTTAGGTTAGCGTAACTTCGTCTCACAGGGGGTGGATTTTTCACACCCCTGAGAGACACAGCTATGCTGATGTAACTTTTCAGTGTAGACCAGCCGTATGTTTCTGGGCAGTTGAACATATCCCTTTGTTTTGACACCTTATCCTGAGGTTAATGAATTAGTATTTTGATTTTCCGTGACATTTGATGTTTTCCCTGAGGACAAACATCAAAGTTATCTGTCTCTCAGCATGAGAACTAGAGTGCTTTAAATGTGAAATTAAATTACTGTTTAGCACTAGGTAGAAATCTCCAAGTGTTAAAGTGATGCATGTGCTATGAGGAAGAGGATCATGTACAAAAAGTAATCCTGTTGTAGCTGCAGAGATGGTGTATAGTAAAGCATCTGTCTTGGAAATTAAAAATGTTCTGTTGTTGACCAGAGTCCAAGCTATGGGTCCCTGACAGAGGTTACAGCAGCTGCTATTGAATGGTGGTGTTTTTTCCAGCTACCTCTGTCAAAGATTTTATCCCTAAAGCAATTGCCACTTTTCATAGTGCTAGCTAAGTGAATGCAGGAGGATAATGTCATTATTAGGCCATCTATGATAGCCAGACCTTTCACTGATATAATTACAGTAATTCTTTTGATTGTGGCAATTTCTAATCTTTCTGTCACCTCCTTTTTCTTCTGCCTTTTGATTGATAATTTAATGTGTGATCATATAGGCTTTGTTAGCTCAAATCTGCACAGTACTTACAGTGGAAAGGAAGAGCTTTTGGTCTTAAAACATAGTTGGCCAAATTCCTGCTACAAACACATCAGTGCAACCCCACTAAATTCAGTGGGATTGTGTGGGTGTAACTGAAGGCAGAATTTGGCCTGCTTTTAAGTCCATTCTGTGACAGATTTTGCTGCTTGCCAAGAGTAAATCTATGTAAAATGGCACAGCACCTCTTCTTTGCAGTAGTCTGATCAGAGTAAAAAAGTTTTATACATTTTGAACCAATTGTTGCCCTGTGTGCACCTGCAAGCTTGGTGGTGGTGGTGGGTATGTTGATCTATAGATTTTTACACTGTAGTTTTTGTGAGCCCACTGGAAATTCAGTTCTGCTGTGTTCCTATCCAAGCAACTCTCATTCGGGCTCTCCATTGACTCAGCTCAGCTTCTTGCAGTCTGCAGTTTCAGATAACACAATGACCATGTTTCAATGTATTAAACTTTTAACATCCTCCAGATTCAATTAATCTTATCTTTACAACTCCCAATTACAGGCACTAATTAAGTGAAAGTAGCATTGTAGACTGGGGATATTACATTAATCAGCAGCAGCCTTGTAGACATAAATTAGTTATTTCCCAATCCTTCAGTATTTTCCCAGAAGAAATGGAATGTTTCATTTCCCATATTTAAGGGACATTAATCCCACAAAGGAGTTTTGGATTGGGATTATTTTTATCACTTTTATGTAAGTGATAAATGGCCATTTAAAAATAAAAGCTACTAGCTTTGTGCAAGACAAATGAAATTGTTTGATAATTATACAATTTAGAGTGCTGTCAAAAGCTACTGGGAGCACATTAATATCTTCTTCTGTAATATTAAATGCTACATGTTGTGTTTCTTGGAATTTTTTTAAAGATGCCAGTTTAAATCAGCTTAGAGGCTAAATCTTGAAGCACCTCCTGTCATCCTCTCTCCATTGGATCATGCGCCTCCAGATTGCTATAAGCGGAAATTCACTTTGGTTCCATACAAAGAGAGTTTGGGATATGACTTCCCCCTGTTACTCTTTACAGTCTGGATAAATGACTCTTCTCTTAGAACTGAGGAACAATATGAAGGGTACTGGCCTATAGAAGAAATGTAGACTTTCTAATGTACTTGAGAGTCCCCATAATAGGTAGGACTGGTAGCACTGCTTATTAGGATTGCCCAGCTCTTCCTTTTTCCGAAAGGAAACACAGTTTTCAATTGGCTGTAATTTTGCCAAACTATAACCAGCAACCGAAATTCTGGCACTTCATAACTTCTAAATAATTGACTTTGTGACCTTCTTTTAATGTTTTTGGTGGTAGTGCAGATATTAAGTATCATGGCCCTCTCTGCCCCTTTCCCAAGAGATAAGATAGATTCTGCATCGTTGTAATGAGAGAACAGGCCCATTTCTAGTTCTGTGTAGCCATTGATGATATTTGCTAAGGAACAGGTACTTTGAACTGAAGCATCCTCTCTTCTGTTTAAATAGAGGAATTTGTAACCTTCGGGACAATCTCTTAGATCAAAAATAAGCATCTAAATTACTGTGCTCCTGTCCCATATGTTCTGCTGAACTTTTGCCTATGTTGAGTGCCTAGATACTACTTTTGATAAAGGCCACATAAATTCATAAAATAGATATATAGCCTAGACCACCTTATCTGTTAAGTTCAGTTTTATCTTGTATGCAACTTTTCTACTAAAGAAAATTTAATTCTGTCAAGGTTCCTCCCCCACTCTGAACTCTAGGGTACAGATGTGGGGACCTGCATGAAAACCTCCTAAGCTTATTTTTACCAGCTTAGGTTAAAACTTCCCCAAGGTACAAATTAATCTTATCCTTTGTCCTTGGAATAACCACTGCCACCACCAAACTCTAACTGGGTTTACTGGGAAACGTAGTTTGGACACGTCTTTCCCCCCAAAATCCTCCCAACCCTTACACCCCACTTCCTGGGAAAGGTTTGGTAAAAATCCTCACCAATTTGCATAGGTGACCACAGACCCAAACCCTTGGATCTGAGAACAATGAAAAAGCATTCAGTTTTCTTACAAGAAGACTTTTAACAGAAATAGAAGTAAATAGGAGTAAAGGAATCACCCCTGTAAAATCAGGATGGTAGGTACCTTACAGGGTAATTAGATTCAAAACATAGAGAAACCCTCTAGGCAAAACCTTAAGTTACAAAAAAGACACACAGACAGAAATAGTCATTCTATTCAGCACAATTCTTTTCTCAGCCATTTAAAGAAATCATAATCTAACGCATACCTAGCTAGATTACTTACTAAAAGTTCTAAGACTCCATTCCTGTTCTATCCCCGGCAAAGCAGCATACCAACAGACACAGACCCTTTGTTTCTCTCCCTCCTCCCAGCTTTTGAAAGTATCTTGTCTCCTCATTGGTCATTTTGGTCAGGTGCCAGCGAGGTTACCTTTAGCTTCTTAACCCTTTACAGGTGAGAGGATTTTTCCTCTGGCCAGGAGGGATTTTAAAGGGGTTTACCCTTCCCTTTACATTTATGACAAATTCATTCTCCATACTTGTTTACTCCTGGGCTTCCCTGCTTTTGTATCACCATTTTACCTCATTAAATCTCATTTAAAACCTTTCTCTTCTAGCTTGAGTCACTCTGTGACATCTTGTGATGCTATATAATAAAAATACTGCAGGAAAAAAGAACTCATTATATGAAGTTGCCAAGAACATCAGCTCCTTCAGTTACAATCTGGCTTTCCTCCTAGAGTTGTATTCATGTTTTTATCAATACCTTTCACACTTCTACATTTTTTTGTTTGTACTTCCTCCTTTCACATTGGATTGGGGCTGAATTATAGTAGTGGTGGCATTTGCCCCCACCTGTTTCCATTCTGAGACTGTATTCTTGATTTGAGATGTGGCATTTATTTTCCTGATGAGTGTTTTGTTTTTTCCTTAGGTATGCCATACCACCAGAGCATGGCAAGCGATTGGAACGCCTGGCAAAAGGTAAGCTTTAGCTGCCACTTTCTTAATGTTGCTGTTGCTGAGACTGAATGTAGTCTAGAGCTGCGCGATGAATTTGCATTGGCTGTACTAGACCCAGAGTCATTGCTGGCCAGACTAAAACTGATGGAAAAACCTTTCATTTTGAGCTTTTGAGACCAAACCACTCTGTTGTCCTGGGCATGAATTTCAATCAGAAACCCATCTTGCATTTCAGTGTGCAACTGATGCCATATTAAAGCCTGCTTTGGTGAGATGAGAGCTCTGTGATCCCTTTATGTGGAGGGCCATCACTAGAGCTGCTGTGGCAGCTTCCCTTCCCCTACTGCAAGGAGAAACTCTGAAGGAGAGTATTGTAGTATTTTTTTGTTGTTGTTGCTACCCTCATAAGTCTGTTAAATACAAACTGCATTTGTATTGATTGTTGCTGAGCATTTTTAATTTTTAAAAAGTGCTTATAAACTCAGTAATGGTGGATACAGGGGCTATAATTATTGGAGTTCTCTCTTCATGATGTATGTAATGACATGCATACCCTTTTTGGTGGCATTCCTGTTACTAGAGGGCTGTTTACTGGACAGATTGTACCTCTCCTTATAATAAACTTCATGTTAAAAAATAAAAAGGTGCGGGGACACAACCAAGGCTAACTGCAACAATGGGGCGCACTCGTCCTCTGTAGGCTATATTCTAGAGCCAGTTATTTTCATCTGATTAAAAATAAGAGAACAGAAGGGGGAAGGGTAGCATGGAATAGAGTTTGATATAGCCAAGTGATATTCAAGTGTAAGTTTTTTCTCCAGTGCATTGTGGAGTCAGAGCTCATACATTGACAGAACTGGGTCCCATTAACTAAGCACTGCATCCTTTCAATTTAATAGGTCTTTCCCAGCCAAGTACCATGTAGTAACCTTATGCTTAATACAATGAAAAGAGTTCCCTTCGTGTTCTGCTCTTAAATAGAAAAGGAGTACTTGTGGCACCTTAGAGACTAACCAATTTATTTGAGCATGAGCTTTCGTGAGCTACAGCTCACTTCATCAGATGTTTACCGTGGAAACTGCAGCAGACTTTATATACACACAGAGAATATGAAACAATACCTCCTCCCACCCCACTGTCCTGCTGGTAATAGCTTATCTAAAGTGATCAACAGGTGGGCCATTTCCAGCACAAATCCAGGTTTTCTCACCCTCCACCCCCCACACAAATTCACTCTCCTGCTGGTGCTAGCCCATCCAAAGTGACAACTCTTTACATAATCAAGTAGGGCTATTTCCTGCATAGATCAAGGTTTTCTCACATCCCCCCCACCCCCATACACACACAAACTCACTCTCCTGCTGGTAATAGCTCATCTAAACTGACCACTCTCCAAGTTTAAATCCAAGTTAAACCAGAACATCTGGGGGGGGGGGGGGGGGGTAGGAAAAACAAGAAGAAACAGGCTACCTTGCATAATGACTTAGCCACTCCCAGTCTCTATTTAAGCCTAAATTAATAGTATCCAATTTGCAAATGAATTCCAATTCAGCAGTTACTCGCTGGAGTCTGGATTTGAAGTTTTTTTGTTTTAAGATAGCGACCTTCATGTCTGTGATTGCGTGACCAGAGAGATTGAAGTGTTCTCCGACTGGTTTATGAATGTTATAATTCTTGACATCTGATTTGTGTCCATTTATTCTTTTACGTAGAGACTGTCCAGTTTGACCAATGTACATGGCAGAGGGGCATTGCTGGCACATGATGGCATATATCACATTGGTGGATGTGCAGGTGAACGAGCCTCTGATAGTGTGGCTGATGTTATTAGGCCCTGTGATGGTGTCCCCTGAATAGATATGTGGGCACAATTGGCAACGGGCTTTGTTGCAAGGATAAGTTCCTGGGTTAGTGGTTCTGTTGTGTGGTATGTGGTTGTTGGTGAGTATTTGCTTCAGGTTGCGGGGCTGTCTGTAGGCAAGGACTGGCCTGTCTCCCAAGACTTGTGAGAGTGTTGGGTCATCCTTTAGGATAGGTTGTAGATCCTTAATAATGGGGGGTGGAGGGTGAGAAAACCTGGATTTGTGCTGGAAATGGCCCACCTGTTGATCACTTTAGATAAGCTATTACCAGCAGGACAGTGGGGTGGGAGGAGGTATTGTTTCATATTCTCTGTGTGTATATAAAGTCTGCTGCAGTTTCCACGGTAAACATCTGATGAAGTGAGCTGTAGCTCACGAAAGCTCATGCTCAAATAAATTGGTTAGTCTCTAAGGTGCCACAAGTACTCCTTTTCTTTTTGCGAATACAGACTAACACGGCTGTTCCTCTGAAACCTGCTCTTAAATGTGACTCTAGTCTTAACAGTGACAGTTCATCCAGTTTTCCACTCTTTTTAGAACCACTTAAAAGAGGAAGGTAGAACAAACAAGAAATGTTGGACAGCTTCTTAATATGTAAAGAAAAAGGAGAGAACAAGTAACAGTGACTTCTGCAACATGGTCACAGAATTCATAAAGGGTAGCACCCTATTTATTCTATATGACTTGGATCTGAAAGGCCTTTGCTGATGGGATCCCCTACTTCTTCTACAACCTCCTTCTATATAACCTTGAAGAGCTCCTGTGAGAGACTTGTGTTCCTTTCCTGTGATCATGAGAGCCTGTGCTCACTGAAACTAGGAATCGCCCCATAACAGAATCAGCAGGTCAAATCTGACATCCCTCACATTGTCACTGGATCACAAAAGAATCTTCCCTACTCTCCTGAGCTCCACTGATTCAGATACAGTTGTTTATAGGTTTAACCCAGATCGTCTCTATATCCCTCCAAACCAGGAATTACCCCATTTACAGGGTTTGCTCTGGAATCCCTGTGTTTTACAAGAATGTGTGTCTTGTCTTGTTAGATTCCATAACCCCCTGCAGACTTCAGACATCTAAAGAGCTGCCTGCCAACAGAGCCAATGAAATTGACAACCGGCTGACTGGGGGCATATGCATATCCAAGGACCATTTCCATCCAGGCCTCTTGTACTTTGCTGGCCTCCCAGAGAGCCTCCCACCCTCAGCTGCTAAAACATTTTTATCTATGCACACCTGCCCGATGGCACCAAGGTCGGCCCATGTGCTGCTATCCACCTCCAGTGTATTCTGGCACCAGCGCCTCATTGGTGTGGATAAAGCATAGCATCACCATTTTGGGAGGTAATGGTGGTGTGGATTTTAAAGGGGAGAAGACTAGCATGGGAGGATCCTCTGTTTTGGTGACTGGCTCCAGAAAGGGTATTTATACTTTTTTTTTTTTCATGGAGTTCTATCTCTTTGTACTTACAAATATTATAGGCACACCTGGCTCTGTAGAGTAGGGAGTCGGTACCAACCAAAGTCCTTGCTCTGGAATTACTAACTAAAAACCAAATTTCCCATTTAGTGAGGCAAGCTTTCAGCTATAGATTTCAAGCAGTCGTTATCATATAGATGTCTCTCCCTTGGTCGGTCATTATGCAAAAGAGGGGGGGAAAATAGACCGTCTGGAAAACTGTTTTCTGTTCAATTTTTAATCTGGTGCTAACCACCAAAATACACTTATAATATTAACATTTCTCACTGATGGTCTTAACATTTTTACGGATCGTGTCATACCAGAAAAAGCCAATCATGGGTTAAGACTAGTCTAAATGTGTATGGGCTTCCCAGGGGAAGGGAGTCTTGTTCTCTTTGCTTTTAAGAGCCATGTCTGCTCCAAAGCTCTGCATTTCAGCCACCAAAAAACCCCCATACATGCAGATGACATATAGAAATGGAATTTCATACCAGACTAAAAAAAAGTCAAGGGATATTTTCAACTTCTCTTTTGTAATATACTTTTTACTGACAGTGAGACAAAAACCAGTGATATATTGCTAATGGCCCGGTCTTTCATTTTGGATTCCCCACCCACACCATCCCTTTAGTTCAGAAAAGAAAATGACACTTTTTAAACTCCCTCTGCACCCCGCCCCCCAGTGTGTCAATGGACTGTGTTACGGAGATATTTGGTACAGTGAAATGGGTTTGCGATTAATATGGAAAATGAATAGCTGAGCTATAAATGGGCTCTCTGGGAGAGTTGTGGTGCCACGTTATTGGTGCTAATCACGTAAAATGGGCTCCTTTATTAGTAGCTTTAATGAGAGCCACTTAAACTGTGCATTAAAAAGAGGAACTGCAGAGAGGGACGACAAACTGGGTGGCAGGCAGTCATAACTCTAATTGCAATGCTTTTAGTGTTTTAAAAAAAAAATGTTGTCGGAATCCAGTAATCCTTTGCACTTTCTAAAACCTCCTCCGTTATGTGCCATCAATTTAGTTTTGTTTCCAGGGTTCAGGTTATATTCTCCTCCCCCCCCCATGTGTTTTTTCCCTTCCACCCCTAATTCGGATTGGTTTAATCAGCCATCTGCAATAGGAAACATTGTCTAGAACAGAGGTTCTCAAACTTGGGGGCGGGCTTCCTGGGAAACACAAAATGTATTCTAAAGGGGACGTGAGAAGCTTTAGGGGGAAAAAGTAGTACGGCTCTGCCCGTTTTACCCACAGCCATGAATAACTAGCAAAGCTGATTCCTCCAGACTGATCAGGTCCTCAGATGGCGATCGGCATTTGACTGTAGGTGGCGCTGGGCATTAAGCTTGCCTAGCATTATGCAAAGCTGTGTGTGTGTTAATGCATTTGCTACAATGTGGTGTGCATTTCATTGTAAGCGCCGACCACAATCACAGTTTTGCTTATGATTGTTGGTTCTGTTTGAACCGATGCTTTACAGTTTTTAATATTTAGTGAGAGTTGCATGTTGATTTTTTTTTAAAATTGTTATATGTACTTGTGTGGCAGGACGGGTGAGGGCGTAAACTACTACAGGTGCACAGAAGTGGGGGGCGTGATCAAATAAGTTTGAGAACAATGCAGTAGTGTTGCAAGTCCAGGCGGGTAAAGGGCAGAAGACCAAGGGTAAAGGGTAGAAGACCAAGGAGGGTGACAAGCTTTATGTAGGCTTGTTATTTTTTATATTGTTAGTGCCTGAAGGCCTCCATGAGGATTGGGGCCTCCCATTGTGCTAGGTGCTATAAAAACATTAGGAGATATGGTCCCTGCCCTTAAGACAGTTTAAGCCAAATGTACGTGACAAGCACTAGGAGGGAGGATGAGGGTAACAGTAATAAAATATACCGGACGGTTCTTAATGTGTGGGGTTTTGTTTCTCTTTTTACTGCCGCCCTAGGCATCATTCTGAAGTACAGCAATTATTGCTGTGTGTGACCTTGGGCAAGTCACTTCACCTCTGTGCCTCAATTCCCCATTTGTAAAATAGAGATTATTGCCCTTTCCTACCCAGCAGGGGTGCTGTGAAGTTAAATCCATTAAAGATTGTGGGGCACTCTGATACCACAGTTATTGGGGGACCATATAAGGTAGACAGCCTCTCAGAGTGAGGATGAACATTTTGATCTTAAATTTCAGACACCATATTATTGGAAATGGGAGTATGCGTAGGCTCTGACCAGACAGTATTTGTGAGAGATCCTAGTTGTTAATCACTTTCCTAGGGCTCAGTGTATGATATTTGAGCTGCAAACCTAAGTGGCAGTGCTTTGTGGATAACCTGCAGCAGGTTGGAAGAACATAAGGTCTCAGGCCAGGAAAACCATAGTTTGCAGGGCAGGTGGCTGACACTGGAATTTTGAGGCCCCTGATCATGTATTTCTGGGGAGCACTGATAAAGCATCAGTATGGCCCAAAATGAGGTGTCTTGAGCCCCGTCCTCTCTAGTTTTCGGTAGCGCTCAGGAGGCTGGTCTTCTCTTATGAAAGGGTAATGCTTGTCAGACTGCTATTTTAAGATCACTGTTGTCCCTGTCACTATTTTTTAGGCAATGAGGGCATTGCTACTTATCCTGCCACAACCTGCAATTGTATTCCTGTTGTTTCAACCATCTACAAAATGTTTGGGCAGATTAACATTTTGCTGTTTGTTTGCTGGTTAATGGGTGTATCTTGCTAGACAAATCTGCCTGTGGTGATGTTTTGTTTTCCTCTGAATCCCTCTGCAGGATTTTTCCCAGGAAGCTCTCAGGGATGCGATGCCTTCCTTCGCCACAAGATGACCCTCATTTCACCCTCCATCTTGAAGAAATATGGCATCCCATTTGACCGGGTATGTACAGAGGCTGTTTTAAGATAAGTCTGTAGGTTTGTTGACAGCCTGGGGCTGCTCTCCTCTGCTTAAAGGAAACAGTTTCAGGGCAGGCAATCTAGGGAATAGAATACTTCATTTCTCAATGCATTGTTATGTAAAATATATACTATCAGTTAAAGCCAGGTGGCTGTTCAAAAATTAGCATTCAGGGCTTGGCTGAAACAATTTTTTGTAAACTACCTCTAGTACTTGAGTACCATCTTTCATCTGAGCATCCCAAAGCATTCTGCCAACATAAACATAAGGGTGGAGGTGATGGTGTGTGTGTCTTATTAATTTTGTCCTTTCCATTCCTTTTATGTCCCCATTTCTGAATGAGAATATTGCCACCATGCTTTCTTCTAAGTAAAGTAAGGATTTTGCTAGAGTTAGTGTCTGAGACAGAGTACAGAACTGAGTTGAAAGGCCCCATGATGCTTTGAGATGGAATTAATATCCGTTTGGAAATAAAAGATCCTGGCTCTTGTACAGCGTCAAGACTCTGAATTCATTCAATTTACTGCTCCAGAAGCTGCTTCATTTTTCCTAGCGAAAGGCTGTGATGAATGAAATTTGAAGTGCAATCATCTGACTTCTCAGATGGACTTGCTGTCAGTGCAGTGGAAGCTTGTGAGATGCAGTGTGGCTCTTGTGGTTCAGCATCAGACATTTGACTGGGGCCCAGTTTTCACACACTGGTCCATATTAAATTGTTGTTCATAAGAGGTCAGCAAACTTGAATCCTTAATGTGTTTTCATACTTTCACTTGTGGAGCCCAACTTTCAAATGGAAGCACATAAATGCTTGCTTTACACAGATAAACTCCAGTGGGAGCACCCAAACATGGGATTTGAATATCCTCTTAAGATGCTCACAGTATAAATTCACTGTCTTGAGAAAATAGATGGATGGTCTGGAGCAATGTGTGGGGAATATGGGGCGTGTCCAAGGGTAATGCATAAGTGGCCGTTTGGGGGATTATTTATTCCGTTTGATAAAGGATTTCGGAAATTCACTGTCCCCACTGCTTACCTTGAAATGTGGGTCCAGAGATCTTTAAAAGAGCACCTGGTTGCTTATTTTGGAGCCTAAATGGCAGCTGAGCTTTGAAAATCTAATTAAGTTTTAGGGATTTCTCCTTTGCACACTTGTATTGATTGAACTCTAGATCTTGCTTCTCAAGTTGTTGTTCTGATATCTTTGAGTTTAGAAACTTGGGCCCCAGTCAACATAATCAGCTGAATTGAGCCTAAAGATTGGTCATTGCTGCATCTCAGAATGGTGATGAAAGTAAAAAATCAGGAACCTCTTACACCTTTTTGACTGTCTTCTAGTAAGAGGAATTTGCCACCATGTCCCTCCAGTTTCATGCTGACTTACTGCAGAGATGGAGCAGCAAATGGGAAAATAGTTTGATGATTCATTCAAGCAGCCTGCTAGGGCATTGTTTTTATGTCTGTCAAAGTCCAAAACTTGAAGTAAATATAAAAAAAATCCCACAAAATTTCAGTTTGTTGTATTTTCCAGGTTATGGTGTCTTCTGCGTCGCAAAGCAGTTGCAATATGCTTGCTTCTCCGTTTACTTACTGGTTGGTGCAAAAGTTACTCTAATGGCTAAAGAACATCCTAAGTGAATGGTTTCTGATCAATAACTAAGCAAATATCTAGTGGTGTTCTTGCAAGAGAGTTTGTAAAAGAAGGGTGTCTCTCTCTAAACTCATCCCAAGAAGGGTATATTGAACAATATGATCATAGGGATAATATGGAAAGTGATTTCCAATTCACTGTTTGGTGAAAGGGCTTTTCCATCTTCCTAGCTGTTATCCCCTTTCCCCCTCCCCCAAATAATTTGATTTGTGAAGAAAAGGAAATGTGCAAGTGTCCGACAGACCAGGCTTTCTACTGAGTATATATAAAAACCAGTGAAATATGAGGGCAGTCTGTCTTGCGCCAGTGTTAGCAGAGTCAGTCTGTCCCTGAATTTTATTAAAAGCCAAGAGAGACCAGCATAAAGAATAGCACCGTTTCGAGGACTGAACTCTCCCTTTAAAGGAGGGTGGGATATTTTAACAGTCTAAATCTCAGAAGCCTGACCTGCAGAAAGGGGTAGGGATATGCTTTCGTAACAGCTTCCCTTTTCCTCCTGTGACTGAGGCACTCGCTGAAAGGCCTTTGACAGTGAAGGGTGGGGGGGGGAATCCTTTTAGTCTGAGCAGCCCACCTCTAGATGAATCCTAACCAGATGAAGCAGTTTCAAGTACAGTATTGTACAGGGGAAGACGAATGTTTTTTCTCTTACTCTAAAAAAAAACCAAAAAACAATAACAAAAACGCAGGATCCCTTAATCTAAATTCCGGGCAGACTTCAAACAAGTGAATACGCACACATTTATAAATCTCTGTAATGGTATTTACTTCTGGAAAAAAAGCAGATCAATAGCAGAGCTTTTTAATAATTAAAAATGTGTATTTCTGTAATCCCCTATTGATTTCTCCATTTATTCTGCAAGCTCTTGCAGAAGTCAGTAAATTCAGGGCTTTCTCCATGAGTGGCAGTTTGTGCTGGCTTTCCCTCAATAGTTATTACTTTTCTACATGGCCTATCCATCATCTTGAGTGCTTTCTAATTTATTGTTGGGATAATGTTGACAGCGGTGACATGGAGGACATACACTGTGGGCTTGAAATGAAGACACCAGGATGTAGATTTTCTGACAGGAACATAATCTTTCCGCCTTCTTAATTTAGAAATCTCCAGTTTTGCCTTGATTTATGAAGGGGCTGGTTGGGAGGATGCTCCATGAAGCTGGGTAGAGACCGGACTTGAGTTTTTCACCCACAGAAGCCTCTTGGAACAGCTTTTGTCCTAAGAGTCTGTCTTTATTCTGATACAGTTAACAGTATTGAAAAGACAAGGGGTTAGTGTTTCAATTCTTTGCAAACTCAGCATTGCTACATTATTAGAAGTGGGGAACTTTCTTTAAAAATATCTTTTTGAATCCTTCCACAGACGTTGATCCATGTCTGTCCCTCTCTGATACGTCTCTAATTTAGTTCTCTCCTATGCATTGTTTGTGTCCTACATCGAGTGAGCTGAGAGGAATAAAAATCATTACATAAAATACACAAGAAGAGACATTCATATTGCAAGCAGTATTGTGTGTGCACCATACAGCTCTTTCTTTGTGTGGTGAGGGTCCTAGTCAAATGACTGCCATTAAGTACCGGTGTTCTGCAGTTTGCTGCTCGAGTGTAGTTTAGTCCAGATTGGACACTTCGATCTCTCAGTGATCTGAAGAAGGCAAACAGTTTGAACGTTGTCTTTTTAAACTTCTTTCCTCCACCTCCTTTCTGGCTGATGCTTCATTTGTTTAATATGTGGTGGATTAAGTCTTGAGGTGCAGTAGGAAGTTTGGAAGGATGTTCGCCTTGTTCATTGAGACAGCCAGAAAGACTATTCTGAGTAGGATGTTGCTAAGTAAGCCTTAAAGAAAGGGATGAATTGGGAACCTGCAACAGAGGGAATCTTTTTCTTTCTCCAGCTTTTCAAACATAAGTGGGTTTTGTAGAGCCTGGCTGACGTTGGCACCCCCTCCCTCCTCCCCTCTTTTTCCTGTTTGATTTTTGATATTTCATCATATGAGTTTCAACACAATCAAGCCTCAAAAGGTTGAATTTTTTTTAACTTGCTACCTTTTACTATCAGGGCATCCTTTTTTAGGCTGTGAACTAATGAGTTCCTCTTGATAGGAAGTATCTTGAGTATAACTGATAGCACATAACTACTCTTATAGTAAAGGATCAGCCAATACTTTTTGTATTAAAAAGACAGTCAGATCAAATTTTGACTCTTTCTCAATCGTAAAGATGGAGATGCTACCACAGACCTTCCTGAGATGTTGTATTAATGTAAAAGCACTATATCAGTGCTAAATATCTTTATAATATAAATCTGATCAGCCAGATATTTTTCACTTTTCTACTCCCCAGTAATTTTAAATCACTAGTTTTTGTGGGAACCACATAATTTTGAGTGTTTGCCGACTACAGCTCCCATCTCTAAAGCTTTTTTCCTGTGACTTTTAAGCTCCCTTCAGTTCCTTAAGTCAATAGTGTACATAGATGAAATTAAAAACAAAGTACACATTAATAAGTAGGCAAATAATAGAGTATATTTTTTTCTGTTTCCCTTGTTATGCATGTATAGGTAGGAATGAGGCTAATGTGCTGGGCTGGGTGAATGATGTCATGAATTAGTTTAAAGCTAAACTACATGAAAGGTAGGTTCATTTCCAAGTGGGAGCAGTAACATTATGGGCATGTTTGGGAGGAAAATACAGTTTTGCCTTATCTGTCTAACATGGCTAGACAACTGGAGATTATGCACTTATGTAGACTTGGTGCTACGATTAGTCAAACTACTCACTGTCTAGAAATCTCTAGGGCATTGGGGATGCTAGACCCTGGGACCAATTTTATAATTTTAAACTCTACCCTGAGAGTCAGGTGATGGTGTTTAAACTGAATGGTTTAAAGTGACATGGATTCAGATCTCACTGACAGCTACTATCCATTTTAACATCCTTTTCTATGGAAGTATTTTAATCTCTGTAAAAACAATACAGTGGGGTTAGTTCTACCTTTTATCCAAGAGTCTGCTCCTCTATCCACCAGGATTAACTATTTATAAGCATGGATGATGACATTGTGTGTAGGAAGCTAGTTAATGTGGCTGGGCTCTGTGCAAAGTTCCTTTCTTCTTCTATTAGTCTACCGATGCCTGTATGTGTCTTCAGCAGAAACACCTGCTGCTCTTTCAGTTCTCTGTTCTCTGCTTTTATTCTAAAATTTGGGTTTTTGTTTGTCACACAAACAAGTACTCCATAGAAGCTGGATAGAGTCAAAGTTGACTTTTCACAGATTTCCTTAAGTTTATAACCCTGTTCTCAGACCACGGGGCCACCAGATATCCCCCAAGGGATCACAGTTTTATCTCTTTCTCCTTTATTTTTTCTCAGATCACCCAAGAGGCTGGAGAGTTTATGATCACATTTCCTTACGGCTACCACGCGGGATTCAACCACGGCTTCAACTGCGCTGAGTCCACCAACTTTGCCACACTGCGGTGGATTGACTATGGCAAAATGGCTACGCAAGTGAGTGTCTTTGTTTGGATGAGTGGGTTCTTACTACCTTTTAGCTGATTTAAATAAAAATGAATGTGGAAATGCCCATTAAGATATGCCCAAGAATGAAAATATCATCCAGCTGAGAACATATACTCTCCACATACCAGTTAAGTGTTCTGTTCTTGTTGCTGCCTTTGATTGTCCTCCGCTGTAGTTGAATAGTTCAGTAACTAGGAAGGGGAAGAAAAGACTTGCAAAATAGGGGAGTAGGGTGAGAGGGGATTTTAATTAATCCCAAAGTCCTAGTTCTTGAATGCAAGATGTGCGTTATATTCTGTGGAGAACGGTGCTTTGGTATATGGGTCTTTATGGGAGGTTGATAAGAGACATTTTAATAGGTTTGGTAAATTTCTGCTGCACCCCAACTAAGTTCCACAGGGAACAAATTATCCCAGAATAGCCCATGACTGCTGTATTCTAATGCTATGTACCCAAATGCATAATAAATAAAAAGGGAAAATTTTATGTAGCCATTTAACCCTTTACAAAAATGGACAAGTGACCTTCTGAAAACAACTCAATTTCTGTAATGTGTGCAGCTTGCTTTCACTGCCGAATACTTGAAAATACCCTTTACTCACTCTTTATCTCATTTAGAATCAACTGAAGTACTGCAGCTGTTGGTTCTGGGACAAAACTCTGTAGGGAAAGCTGCAGGGTATCTTCAATGGAAGGTCTTTTCCTGTGTAACTTGTTCCCTTTGACAGCTCACCAGAATTAGAGCTGGTGGCCTTCAGGGTACAGTATATGGAGCATTTGTTTTGATACTCATTTATCTGAGTGTTTAGTAATGGCAGAAAGGAAATACCTTCCAAGCTAATGAATGGAGCTAGTGTATGGCAGAAGTGTTTCAACATCTTGCCCTAAGTGGGTAGTGTTTTTAATGTAGTTAGATCATGTGATGTGATGTGCTCAGATGTGGTGGTGCCATGTACAAAGTATGAATGGGGGTCTGTTATTTCTGGTCCTTTTAAGGATTCCATTCCCACAGGCTATGAAAAAGGATGAATGATTACACAGGTGCTGATGGTGGTTTAGTTTGGGGCTATTGCCCAAAATGTGCCATGTTCCTTTCCAAACACAGAGGAAAATACAATCTCTGCCTTAGGGTAGCTTACTACAAGCATATCCTTCAGGAAAAGCATAGTTCAGACTCTGGAGGGGATACCTGAACACTAATGTTCATAATGATCAAAATAATATTTTGTTCCATGGATTGGGACCCTGAAATGTGTGTAGCTTATTTATAGTGAAGGTTCAGTTTGGTCCAGAAAAGGTAACTGTGTCCACTTTTCCTTAAGAAATGACTTGTGTTTTGTGAGTAAGAGGAGGTGCGTGGTTAGTCACAGAAGTTTTTTACCCTTTTTTCATCCACCCTGGGACATTAGTATGTTTGACAGCTCTCTCACTTTAACATCCCCATCTTCAAGGCATAGTTCCTTCAACCATCTTCCTCCCAACCAAGTCAGGACTTCCTAGACAGGATTCTATTCAGAACTAATCAATGCTGCTCATTTATTACCAGGAGTGGCTGCTTCTTGAGCGATGGGAGGCACTGCTTTCTCTCTAGAGGATGAATATGATGTCTCTCCATAACTCCAATACCAGGCTGTCCAGGAACTTGTGGAATCACAGAAACCATGATAGCTTTAAGAAATGTTACTGTTTATCTTCTCTCCTTTTTTCTTTCAAGTTGTTGTTCTTTATTGAATTTATATCATCTGCCCAAATAGAAACCAAAGCTGCTTGTGACTAACTTCATCCTGAAGAAGCACTTTTCTCTGCTACATCGCCTTCCCCTCACTGTTCGGTGTTCTGTGAATTTGCCTAAGCAGGCACAGGCAGACTGGCTGTGACTATCAAATGCCATAATCTTCAGTGTCTGAGCAGCTCATCCTGTAGAAAGCCCATCCCTCTAAGCTACTGAAAGGTGAAATGCCTGTCTCGTTTATTTTTCCAGTAATTTTCAGCCCATGGTCTCAGGGGATCTATTATTAGCTGACACATTTGACATCTGAACTCTGTGCTTGTCCTAAAATAAATTCCCCTTAACTCCACAAACATACATCTTAGCAGAGTTTTTTTTATTGACAGTTTGGTGGAGATGTGAGGCCGCTTGATGGGAATTCCACTGAGTGCTGATATACCTCAGGGCATGAAGAGAATTCATCAGCCAGTGCTGTCTTGTCTTGTCACATTGTGATCAGTGCTTGTTTCCCTCTATCAGTTTGACTCTGCTTTTAGTCTTGTAGTGGGGTGCTGGTGAATGAGAGCCATAGATGTAGGCACACTCATTCAGATTAGGCTGGGATTAGACACCAATGTAACGCTAGAAAATATAGTCATTAGCCAAGGGGAAAGGGGTAATTATCATTCTTAAGAATGAGTGCCACATCAGAACAGATCAGTTTTACATCTAGTTTGGTCATGTCTCCAGCGGTGGTCAATACTAGCTTCTTCAGGAAGAGATTTAAACCTTCAGACTATGCTTAAGTGAGCAATTCTATACCACGGGACAAACTTATTCCTAACCTCCAACTAGTTTTATGACCTGAAGCATGAATCCTAAACTCAGTTTTTAAGACACTACCATTAATTTTCCAACGAGTGATGATTCTAAATTCACAAAAATACATGCCAAGGAGTTGCAGAGCTTGCGCTTTTGCTACCAGATGGGCCAGGTCATGAAAGAATTAGTATAGTTGCCAGTTAGCTATTGCTCTGGGAGGAATGTTAGAAGGAGGTTCTGGCGGTATTGACTGGACAGTAGCTAGCCACTTAGTATACTTTAATTTCATTTTTTAATCTTTTAGGTGCAATTAAACCAAACCTACACTGAAATAATACCCAGCAAACCTGTTTCAGTGCAAAATAGGATAACGGGCTGTCTTAAAGCTACAAAAGCCATGAAATTCATAACAGTATTGACCCAGCTTTAAATAGCTCCTTTTGTGTCCGGGCACAGATGGAGTAGGGATTGGCCAGTATGTCATAGATTCATAGATTCATAGATATTTAGGCCAGAAGGGACCATTATGATCATCTAGTCTGACCTCCTGCACAATGCAGGCCACAGAATTTCACCCACCACTCCTAAAAAAGACTCCTAAAAAAGTCATAAACTCTTCTCGGGAGGACGGTGCATCAGTTAAAAAAACTTACCGCCCTCATGGCTATGACAGAAACTTTCTCATAGGATCCAAGGCAGTGCTCTGTCTGAATCAACAAGGTGGAAAGAGAGCTGAAATGAGTGATCTCATTTCAAATATTACACATGCTGAGCTTTCTTAAAATTCCCACTGTCGGACTAGCTGTGGTTGGGAATGGTGGGAGAGCTAGTATAGAAAATCCATTGCATTTTCATCGTTGTGTTGTCCAGGCCGTCTTTGAACAGCGTTAGGAGACGTACAGTGGTAATAAAAGCCAGCTGCCTGCCAGTGCCAGGGTTTTTACCATAGTTCGCACCAGTGCTAGTGTAATGCTATGAAACTTAAAGAAAAAACTTCTTACAGATAGATCTCCATGGGGTATAAATTCCAAATCTTAACAATAATTTGGTCAATGCTGACATTTAATCAAATGCAGATCTTTACATCAGAAACATCCAGCTAAACATCCAGCTACTGTGGGATTATGGAGATCTTGTGTAGTTACCTCCGCTCTCCTCTTTCCCCACTCAAATAGCTAAACCCCTACCCTAGGTTGTTTGCACCCTGTTAGATGTCAGATTATTTATTGAGGTTGTAGACGAAGCCATATTCTATTTATATCTGGGCTCTGCAGAGTAAGGAAGGGTGGAATGGAAGCCATAACTCTGAGATTGAGTTTTGGAGTTAAAGGAGCAATAAGAAAAGCCTAAAACCCACAAGAGGTCTTAAATAAGTTTTGTATACATCAGACTTAAAAATAAATAAATAAATAAATAAAAAATGGCTAAGTAAATTTGATTTGAAATTTAAAAAAAATAGTGTTCAGGTCTGCTGTAACCCGGTATATACTAAGTTTCAGTCTGTAGCAAATGTTCCTGGAGTTATAAACCCCAGAAAATGGGGGTTTAATCATGGACATTTTGACAAACCCTTAACTACAGTGGTGCCACCGGGCACTGCTCTAATATTAAAAGCAATTTTAAGCTCAGCCATGTGTTCACAAACAAGTGACATTTGGGAAGTGCAGTTTTAGATTGAGCCTCCATGCTCACATTGTTAAGCGGCATAGCGTGAAATTACTGAACAAACAGCATAGAGAGTTCTGAGCAGATCTGGGAAAAAAGTTGGAGAGTGGAAGGAGATGCCCAGTTTATTTCCATTGCACCAGGTGACACTTCTCTGTTTACAGGATTCCATTTAATATTTCCAAAATCATGATTTGCATATGTGTGTGTGTTAACCATTTGTTACCATGGTAGGGGATTCCAGATGAGGTGTGAGCTCTGTTATGGTATGTGGGCAATAAGTTCATTGACATCTCCTTTTTAAGTTAAAGAAGGATTTAATGAAATATCAGATGGTTGTGTTATGTGTAAACTCAGATTGCCTGCGCTTTTCATGATGAAAGAAAAATCCTGGACTGTGTTTTTCTGGTTAAATAGCACAGGGTTTTTAAATGAGTTGACTAAAGCAGCTATTCTGATTTTGTTCATTTGTTTTGTTTTTTGCTGTCAGACATAGCTGGATTATATTTGCTAATACCAGAGTGATTTTTTCCCAAGTCATTATCATAGTTCTTAAAGTGCTTAGAAATGACACTGTGGAAGTACAGAATATTATTTCATAAAAAAGAAAGTCAACCTAGTTCCATCTCTCCTCCCTCCAGGTTGCAACAAGCAGGGCTGATTCCTGTCCTTACCACAACACAGGAAGTCAATAACAGGCCTTTTGCAACTAGCCAGATGGACAGTGCTCTTTTTTCCCATATGCTCTGACATTGGGGACTCAGAGCATAGATTTTGCTCTGCTTAGAGCTGT